CTACTAATGGTAAAGAACCTTTGCAACTTCCCTTTCATTTTCCTCTTTTCGGATGAAGGAAGCATAAAATTAGGCAAATCAACCGCGCAACTTTATCCACTTATGAACAAATTAATTCACATTAAGCTATTCGAGTCTTTTGTATTTGCATCTATAGTATCGATTTTATTAAATTTTACTCAATAACTAATTCATTTTCTCGGTTACAAGAGATTGTATGAAATTTTGATTGCGTCCATTTAACGTTCAGAGAAGATAACATATTGTGTCAACATTTTTGAAGTATTTATAATGCTTTTCAAAGTATTATTAACGATATTATCGCGAAGAACCAACAAAATCATCAGTTCTGCTGAATTTCCAAACAAATTTTCTTCTAAATGATCTGTTCGAGAATTCTAATGAACGATGAAATTACAGAACGACAGTTAAAATTAAGTATGGTATTTTGTTGATTTTAAGAAAAGAAAGAGGTAAAAATTTTATTCTTTATTCTATGATCACATAAAAAATATTTAATGTCCAGCGAAGGAATACTATACAAATTAGAGCCAGTCTAGAGGGACATTTGACAAGGATGATTTTTAAAATTAATGTTTTAAAAATGCTTGTTTATTTTCTTTGAAAAAGCTGAATTAGGCAAAATAATATTAGCCACAAAAAAAAGTGTCCGTGTACAATCTATGCAAACAAGAACAAGTCGGATCAATCCAAAGTTATCCATAGCCTTATTAAAATAGCTTTTTGATCAAACCAAAACATCACATTCATTTTATGAACTCGTCGCTTACCGCACGTAAAAAAAGAAAAAAAAACCAAAACTAAATCAAACAATAGCCTATTCCTGGGAGATGCGAGAGATCAGCATGAACAAATCTTATGCAACATAATCTAATGGTCGATTGAAGCCACCTTTCCTGTTCATATACTGCCGATACCGTCGCGGTTTATTAATTGACACTACACCATCAACATTACCCGGTACCTGAAATTATTACCAAAATTTCATTAATTAAAAGTCGTAAGGACATTTCAACGTAGTTCTCACTTACCTTATCTGTCAATATTACGCTTAGAAAAAACTTGATGAAGTCTGATCAAAAAACAATATTTACCTTTTTATTCTTAGTCGTATCAAAACCTGCAAAGCCCATCAACTTAAGCATATCTTTATCGAGTCCTTTCAAAGAATCAACACCAACTGAAAAATCACCAAGAATAGAAGAAGGAAGAAACTAAAAAAAGAACTCAAATAATCAAAAAAAAGTCAAGTCATTGCTAGCTCAACCTGTGGACCAACTCAAGATAACCTGACAGCTGGTAATGAGGAGTCTTTTCCCGTTAATCGATTCATTTTCGACACGTAACGTCATCAATGTCTAGCAAACCAGTGAACTAAATGACTGGATCGCTTTTCTTAACAATTATAAACTAAAATAGCCCAAATAGCACATATACAACATTTTCTACTTTATAAATATTTACCATCCTTCGCTTGCTTTTCTTTTTCTCGATCCCTGAAAAATAAAAGTAATGCAAATTTTCCGGAATTTTTTATAATTTTATACCAATCAAAACTGAGCACTAGGAAAGACTTGAATTATCCTAATTATTTCCGTCTTAATAACTTGGTGTGGCAAATAGATCATTGGTAGCTTTGCATGTCCAGCAAAAACTCCCAGTATTTTGAAGTTTGTATAATATAGCCAACTGCATGATGAAGTGGAAGCTCGAACTATTAACTATAATTCACTTTTTCCATACTCTATTGATAAGACTGAGGAAATGATCAAGAATTTTAGCAATTCTATGGGAATTGGGTAAAGTCACCTTCGTGGTCTCTCCTCATTGTCATGTCGTCGTCTTTCATCCAATCGTTCCCGACTTCGACTTCGTCTACGATCTAAAGGACTTCGTGATCGACGACGTTCCTGATAACAAGATATAATAAATAAAGTTTCTGATTTGACATTTCACAGCCTAACCGTTGAAAACTATGAACACAATAAACACAATCCATTTCCTTCGAAAAAACTGCGGTATGGTTTCTTTTTTATGAAAGCATTAAAGAACTACAACAACAATAATTCAATTCTAAAAATTGCATACTTGGCTACGGCGACGTGAACGATCTTTGTCGACAGTTCGTGTCCGGCCAGTAGAACGTGAGCGTGATCTACGTCGTCTCTCACGTTCTCTTTCTGCAAAAAAGTTACAGTTCAAATTAGAGGCTAAAAGCAAAGTACCATAGAATTATGTTAAAACAAAAATTATAATTTATTACATCACCCTAATCAATGAATCAATTGAATTTTTTTTGTTGGATTAAGTTGAACAAAAACTTACAATGCTAATCATTTGTTGGCTATTTGATAATAATGTGAAGATTATCCGAGATAAAAATACATTATTTGAATGACAGAACAATAATAGTTTGATAATTTCCTTTAGGATGCTCGTTCTAAGAGGAGAAAAAAAAGCTGATATATAGTAATTATATAAATTCAAATTAAATGTTCTCCGCAAGATATACTGATGAGAATTGTTAACAACCCTAGCTGATGATTGAAAATGCTTGAGGTAAGGAAAAATGCTTACCTCTACTTCGGCTTCGTTCTCGTGCCATTTCAGTAAGTTGTGCTTTAACGTCTAATGGTTAATTTAAAAAAGAAGAAAGAAAGAAAAGAAAAAAAAGAAGCAAGACCGGCACTAACAGCCAACTACACAATGCACCAAGAAACTCCCGAAAAAAGTCTCGATGACAGGACGAAAAATTTGCATTGGGCGAATCTGCCTAAGATATGGATCTTCTGAAGGAGCTCTATTGAGGAATGGTCGAAAATCATAATTGTGATAATGGTAATCATTTAGTGTGATAAGATAAATGATTAGGATGGGTGGTGTTGTGATTAAGGGATGACAGACCTGATGAAACGTTTGAAGTAACTTCACGGATGTTACATAAATGATATCCACTTGTTTGTATTTCATGCATATATCATTTGTTAAATTCATTTTAAGAAAAATTCGTTATAAGGTTAAAAATTAGCTTCTGGGAAGTTACATAATTGTGACTTGTTTAAATGTAATTACTTGCATATGTTACGCATTATATTTTTTAGAATTCACAACTGCATTTTTTTCTTCTTATGAATTATTTTCTAGACATGAATAAATCAATTATTCTTTTCTTTTTTTTAAAAGATTTCACTAAAAGGTTGTAGAATTTTCAGAACTGGGACACATTAATGTGGTTACTTTAATGTTTGCTCTACCAATCGCATCCTAAAAAAAAAGCGAAATTGTTTGTGAGAAAATAATGGGTTGCGTAACAAAACGACGAAATACAGGAACAAGTCGACGTAATGTAAGTTTACGTGGAAAACATCTTTTTTAGACTTTTTTTTTGGTATTCATGATGTATACTATTGGCAGCAAATACCGTAGTCAGCAAAACAAAGCTACCTATGGACCTGTAAGATCGGCATTCGTATCACAGGTTTAATTAAAATAGCTGAATGCTTACTTTGCAAGCATTTTTAAGAAAGGTGGATATTCGAATATATACATTTTGAAGTCTTATTATTTCTACAGATGTTGCGTAATGAAAATTACATCAACAAAAACTGGAAAAAAGAATTCACCTTGGTTTCTTTTGTGCTCGCTGTAAATGAAACATTAATTATGCAATATAAGTAATTTCAAAATGTCTATTACTTTGAGCAATTACAACTTTCCTGTAAAAATACTAAGATTTGCTGTTACTTGTTGAGTTAATTACTAATTTATATGGATAGTATTATTTTAATTATCAACTCACATTTATGTCACTCAATAAGTAAAGTCCAAAAATCTATCCCTTCACTAAATTATGAAAACTTTTTTATGCGTTAGGTCTCAAATGAATGTGAAATACCTGATGAAATCGATTTTGATGCGGCGTGGAATGTTTATATGCTCAATAAACCTGCGTGCCTTCTCCATTATGTTCCCAATCCAAAGTAAGACCATCGGTTCACTTATTTTTATTTGTTTATGTTGATCATTTGCTATATAAGTAACGAGAAAAATTATTTGCATAATGGAGTAAATAACAAATCATTTTTCCCTTAAAATATCATTTGCAGGACCAAAAATTGTCGTGATAATCCATATTGTCTAGGCCGTTTGGGCTTGGAAAAGTGGGACAAATTATTGAGTAGTATCAAAAATGAAAATAAAACAAGCACCGATTTGGATCGGCGTGATATCGCGAAGATACCTTGTGGTTTGGTAAATCTCGGAAATTCGTGTTATGTGAACAGCTTCTTGCAGGTCTATAGAGCTAATCAGTTTCATATAATTAAAGGCTATGAGGAAAGTTCAAGGAGTATTTTCAAGATAATAAGTAAATCGATCAAGTAAACACAGCTTGTAGAAACGTAGGAAAAGAAGTTGGGAGAGAGTTTATGAGTTGTTAAGATAACGATTGTCTATAATTTTCTCAATTTGTAGATATTTTTCAATGATCCTGTTTTCCGCAAATGCATTTATGACTGGCGGCCGGTTGCTAATTTTGTTAAGCCGGAAAGAGAAAAAATAAATATTGAAGAGCTAATGTACTGTATACAAAAATTATTTATAACCTTGCAAATTACACCTTATGTAAGTTCTTGGATTTTATTCCTAAACAAATTTCATTGCATGATTTAGAGTTTTAAAATTTTGCACTTATTTTAGGTGAAGAATTAGGTTTAAGGCACAAAGATTTTAATCTAGAATTTCCTTTTTTCAATACGTTAGTGACTGCGAAAATATATCCCATCTGCCATTATTACCTTTTTCTTATCATCAGCGTTTCATCTACAAAATATATCGGAAATTTTTGTTTTCCCTAGGTACTTTTAGGAAGATACCAGTGCTGAAGGGTTGGTTAAGCTGTTACAGCTAGATGGCAATCAGCATGATGCTTTAGAATTTCAAATACTTTTCTTTGGCAAACTTGAAAAACTACTCAGTTACCACGTTGAGTGGCATAAAGTGCGCGAAACTATTCTCAAAAGGTTTCAGGTAAAATCCATATGTTTGAATAAAACGCATGAGTTTCTTGGCATAATGATAAGATCTATGTTACATTTTCTGGAAGATTTTCGTTTTAACGAGTTCAAAAATTTTTGAGTTGTCTTGCAGGGAGTTATAACGCAAACTATTTCTTGCAAATGTGGACGTCGTAGTGTTACGGAGTTGCCATTTAATCCATTTTACTTAAGTATTGAGAAAGCTCGATCGTTATCAAAGGCATTGGAATATTATTTTCTTCCCGAAGAGTAAGTTCACCTTTCATTTTTTTTTTGCTTTTTCAGATTTCATCGCTATAAAATACCCTAACATTTGAGGCAACATTTGGCAGAAACGTTTATTACACATAAAGCTTATAATCTTTCCTCAAAAAACATAAGATATCAAATAAGATATTTATTTAATTTTGACAACGAGTAACTTGTCCAGAGTTTAATCTGTTCATGTCCCTTGTTTAATATTGGTTTCACCTTCCCCACTTTTGATCCTCAGACTGTTTCACTTTGCTTTAATGCTTTTAATGATGCTGTTCATATTAGAATGTGATGTCCTATACCAAACAGGTTGTCCATAGTTAAGTGAGGTTTTATGAGCTGAAATCAGTTTTTTCTTAAATAAGATTAGTTCGTTACTTTAGGAAATTATTTCTCAACTGAAATGCATGGATTTTTCAGATTGCCTGACTACAAATGTAGCGAATGCGGACAAACTGGTTCTGCACAAAGTCGTCTTGCGATTAAAGAACCTCCACCTGTGCTGACAATACAACTTAATCGATTTACATATGATGCGTAAGTTCAGTAACTGCTTTTTTACTTATCTTTTTGAAAAAATTTTTAAGGACTCGACAAACTCCTTTCTCAACGATTTCGGTGAAAAAATTTTATATTTTTTAAAATTATAGTGTGGGGCACAAAAAGAAAATTCACTCACCGCTACAGTACCCAAGAGTTTTACATTTGGGTGATGTAAAGTATGACATTTGTGCTGTAATGATACATGAAGGTCCAAACGCTGATTGCGGGCATTACTACGATCTGATAAAGCATCCAGGCACTAGGCAGTGGTTCACCTATAATGATGAGGTATTGCTTTATAAGGTTTCCTTGCACCATAGTATGAAATGATCTCAAGAAAGACTAATAATTTAATGATTCAAGCATGTCACAAAATAAATCAACTTGCAGATCTGGATAGATGTAAAGATTTAGTTGATTACAGTTCTAATTATTGATGAAAATAAAGTTTTTAACTGGCAAAAAGTCATTAATGAAAACAAAGTTTTAAGAAGCACTAAACAAAAACAGTGTTTAGGTTGTAAAGCCATCTGCCACTCCTGGTGTATGTGTCGAAAAAGAACGAACATCCAAAGTTACCGCCGATATGAAAGGTTGCTACGCCTTGGTTTACCGTCAAGAAAATGAGGAGAATTCAGCTATTCCTGCTGTTCCGGAAGATTTGCTAGGTGATATCGCAAATAAGGTATGGGGAAAAGCTTGTCAAACTAGTTAATTTTTTTTGCACTCTGTTTATAAATAATTTCAACCTGTCGTTTTCGAACTGTTCATTTAATTTATACAATTATCTGCTATATTTTGGTAAAGAATAATATGGTTTGAGGTATCATTAGGAGCTATTTTATTGCATTATTGATGTGCCTTTCAGAACCCTGGAGAATTTTCTTTTTGATCTATAATAACCATAAAGCTCTCATCCCAGAGGTTAGTCCTAACGATATGAATTAAATTAAGATAACTCAAATTTATTTTGAAGTTACAGCTGGAGGAAGAGTTCATTGCTCAAACCAGTGCAACTACAGAAATGACCCTCAGACTTAAAAATACTGTTGAAGATTATCACAAACGTCTTACGGATACATTCGATAAATTGGAGGTCTTGTAAATTTACTCATGAATCAGACCCAAAATGTAGTTTTTCTTTCTTTCCTGCATTTTAAGTTTGAGGATTTGAATTTAAAAGCGCTAAATGAGGAGACTGATGAAGAGACAAATATCGAGGGAATCTGGAAAGGGAAAAGATGGCGAGGAATAAAAGGACAGAAATTGTCGGCAATGTCAGCGATTTAGAAGTAGTATTTTTGAGCGGTTTCGGACCGAAATATAATTCAAAATTAAATTCTAGGTAAAAAAAGGCGACAAAATGTTGAAAAATCCGGATGATATTGTATTTATACCTACGGAATTATTCAGCACTGTTCTGTCGTATGAATTCAACAGGATGATGGGAAATAATGATGAGGTAAAGAATTCCGAAACTTGCATATCTTTTTCCTTATGTATATAATGGTCCGAAATAATTCTTTTTCCGAAACTGTGCTTTAAAAAAAAAAAACCGTATACAATTGCTTGTTTGCTCATTTGGCAGATTTCGCGAATAATTATTCACGATTTAATCCTTTGTATTAATCAGTTGTTACTTTATTATTTCCTAATGTTATTTCGTCCAAAATATTACTTGCCTCCAAATGTTACTTCGTTAACCAAATATTATTTAGTCATCAGTATTAAGCAAATGTTACTTTCGCAACTTAACCGTCAAGTCTAGCCAATTAAAACCACAAAATTCCAGAACACTGTTGTTATTTTAATCGGTTAAGCTACTTGAAAAGTATTATGTTGGAAATTTATGTCATCTTTCACTATATTTTTCGAATGCAAAATAATGCTTACTTTAGGTTTTCAAGAATGTTGCAAATAATACTCGAAGTGCTGCAGTCATCAAATCATTAAATTATAAAAATACAAATGTGGTTTGTTAACATTTTTATAAAAAATCTTACAGTGATTCTTACTATATCACGAAGACACTTACTTCTTCATGATATCTATTAGACAGGAAATTACATGTCACATATTTGTCATTTGCATTTGGACTGCAAACTCTTTCGGTTTTAGTAACAGTTTCGTTGCAATTTCAGAGTTAGATGGAACGAATTAGTTAAATAATCGTTACACACGTCCTCTTTTACTCTTTATTCCTAATCTTGAGAATGAGCGTGAAGTAATTCTACGCTGTTTTAGAATGGATCTAAATCGTCGTTCTCTTTGTGTGTGCACAATCGCGTATCACTTGGTAGTGTACGAAGTGGTGCAGTGAAGGCTGTAATGAAAAATGCAGCACGAAGTTTTTTGACATTTTATGGTGTCGAATTTGTAGATTTAAAAACAGGGTTTGTATTTTGATCTTTTTCTTCCCTCACAAAGACGAGAATCTCTTTGGACTGCTACCTGGAAAATGTTCTAGGTCGGACATTTGCTTGAAATGTGTGGAAGCACTGAAAACACGAAATGAATTTGTCAAAAAAGTCCAACTAAAAGAAAAAATGGTAAAGCAGTTATTGCGAGAGAAATCAAAAAGGTTTTTTATTTCTTTTAAATTTGTTCAGTTCTTATTTTGTTACCAGCTTTATGAGCTGTGTGAGCAATTAATGAATATAGACATTGCGATTAGTTTCCTGGCAAAAAAAAAAAATAATTGGCCGATTTCGGGTAAATGCGTGTATATGGTAATGCTTATGGTGGTATTAATGGGTTACAACTTCTGAAAAATAAAACAGGGTAAGATTGACCTGCACAAAGTGACCACATATATCTCTTTTTTGAAGATTTTTTGATAAGAAACCTTATTGAGACATTTGTGGTATTTATCGCGATTAGTTTGATTTATTTCTAAAAGAAAAGGTTGAGGAATTTTGCAGATATTATCATTCGGAAAACTGTTTTTGGGTATCAGTACGTTGTTTGTCACAGTATCGACAGTTGGCTTTGCGTGCACACGAACAGTCCGTAAAATCATGTGCAGAAGTTACAGAATTAAGTTATTTCTGGCCATGTAAGCGATTTGGGAAGGTGAGATATTTGTCGCTGGTTGAAGTGTTTGATAAACTTGCTGGAAATGCGAAAATTTTCGAGTTGGGTACTAAAAACATTGCAGCTTGAATCAGTAACAGATCCTTCAACATCCGAAGTTTCACAAAGGCTTTCATTGGAAACTGGATCTGGAAAAGCAATTGATGAGTTTGGTTTGCCAGACGTAAGTTAATTTTCCGTTTTTTGCGATTATCACAGGCAAATATTTCACTTTTTACTTGAACTTAATGATATTTTTATAGGTAAATGAGGAGACAAGGTGTGAATGGAGTCATGAAAACTATTAACGTAAAGTTGTTGCTAGATAACTTTTTCCTGCTTTTAGGATTTTGGTCCAGTGACTCTCTCGAGTAGTGGTGGTGATTGCTCAGAAATTGCAGTTAATGGCAGCTGTAATGAGGTATTTCAAATTTGATAGAGGATTTCAGTGTTCTTTAATTCTGATTCTATCGAATAATGATTTTGTTTGACTTGGAATGCTTCATCTCAGTTTAGATATAAAAGATACAAAATTCCTCATTTACCAGCAGTGTTTTTTCTACTTCATAAAGTAATCTGGCTGAATATCCTAAATTTCTTCATCAAATTTTTATTTGTATTTTTTCCGCAGGAGAATTCGTCAGCAACTGGTGAGGAATCAACGCAAAATCCTTTTGCGAATGGAAAACGAGATAATCGAAAACGAGCAGCCCTATATTGCAAGGATGAGGTAATCATTTCCTATCATACGGAGGATCTGCCAGAATCCATCATTTTTAAATAGCTGAATGACGTTGAATTTTTCAGTTGAAATAATAAGGATGTTGCGTGTCATCAGTTTATTTTTGGATCGTAGTTACTTTTGTTGAGAGATGGTAGCAAACATGTTGTTCATTGATTTCCCCAGTATTGCTAGAGTTTTAATTCCAGAGTATATAAAAGATGAAAGATTCATAAGGAGATTGCGAAGCCCGTTTTATACATTGCATATCTCAGAAAATTGAAATTGGCTCTCTCTATTAACCAAGTTAACAATCGGGAGTTTTTAAAAGCTTAAGAAATGAAAGAAAAATTAAGAGGAGTGCTCAACTAATTGCTTGCTTAGGATTTACTCAGCAGTTCTGCAGAAATAACTGCATTAATTTTGTTTTGTTCGCTGTCATTTCAGGTCGATGACGCCGTTATGGCAAAATGTGCTGGTAGTTATCAATCAGTGGTGGATGATTTGGAGTCTTCCAAAAAACAAAAATGTATGTGATTGAATATTTAATTTAATCACTGACCTGCGCACATCATCAGGACAAAAAAAATATTTAAATTCTATGCTGTACCAACCATAGAATTTAAATATTCTTACCATTTTGTTCTTCACTCCTTCAGTTTCTAGGTTTCCTTAGTAAAGTCATTCTCATAGGTTCTCTGAATTTAATCACTGACAAAAATTCAGAAATCCATTGATTTGAATTAAACCAAATTAATCCTCATTAAAGCTAGGCGATAGATTCTGGTTTTTTCAGTAATTGCTAATGCTTTGATATGGCTGGCGTTGTGCACCTTAGTATGTCATCCAATGAAATTAATTTATTTGTAGTGTTTGATGACGATACTTATTCAGCAACTCAACAGACAAGGTCATCGTCCGAATCACCTCCGGATATCACCGAGGTGCCGGATGTGGTTTCCACTGGTATCGAAAAAAAGGAATGTGATGATGATAAAATAAAAGTTGAACAATCGGCTGATACGAATGAGACTTGTAATAATGTATGTGTGTTTATAGATGTGTTCCCAGATTGATGAAACGTTCATGTTTTATTTTCCTCTCGACTAGGAAAGAAAATTTAAAGCTTACCGAAGCGTCTATGTTCTACGAAATCAGGAGAATTCAAAATGTGGTTAACTGAGGGGAGATCAACTAACTTTCCCACATCTATGCACTGAAAACAATAACAGCATATCCTTTAACCAACTACTGTTGGACGAATACTATGAATATTTTAATATTTTATAAATTACATTCTGTTAATGTTGTCTGCGAATCGGTAATATTTCTACTTTCTGTGTATTCATTATATGAGATTCCTCGCATTTATAAGAGATTCCTTATCGATTAGCTTTCTTTTTTTTGCGGATTTTTAACGTTAACTGATCGGTAGATTAAAAAAGAAATGGTCGTGAGCTGTATATGTTACTCTTAATAGATGTTTTCTTATTGCAGAGTTCAGTAACAACTGGTTTTGATGAATTTGGTCCATCAGAAGTGCATTCGGAGAAGGAACAAAGCAAACAGCGAAATTCCGCTACCGATGATGACACGCAAGGGTCATCAGAGAACAATATCCGATCTGGTTACACAGTTCAGGAGGATTTAGATTGCACCCAGAGTGATGATGAAGACGAGGAAGAACAAAATTCAGTGGTTTTCAATGGAGACTTACGATGCGAACACGGTTTGTGATCTCATCTATTGTAAACAGATCATCCATATCGTGGTGTAGCAGAGAAAGCAATGGAGGAAGAATCTTGTTCTTAATATCCAAATGATAAATACAGATTTATTAGAGAAATCATCACCGAAAAACTTTTATTAAAATGTATGGATGATTTTGCGTGACATATTATGGATTTGGATGAATTTGCTTGCGTTGCAAGTAAATATTCGCAGGGAACCTGAATTCGTCCTAAACACTTTCGAAAAAGATATACTATTTGATTAATGACTTGAAAAGTAATGCTGTTTACTTATGTATCTTTCCAGGGCTTTTGGATTACGAATGTTGGATGACAAACGAACGGCGCATTGTTGTTGACGAAGACGAATGGAAACAACTAACTGTTGGAATTTTTGAGTCGGATCATTTATGGTGTGTTAGTGTCGATGAATTTCCTTGTTCCATTTGTAAATCAGGTTATTTGGTGAGTGACTGTTTCAATTATGAATTCAACATGATGCTTTATTCATTTGTATTGGTTAGTATTTGATAATGTATTTGGACTAATCGTTAAAAAAAATTTTTTGGAAAAAAACGTTGGAAACTGTTCTCAATCTGGGAGTTAGAGTTAATTAAATACATTGAGAATTTTAGGTCAATTGGAGTTTTCTAAATAGTAGGCCTATAGCAGTTGGTGTATAAACTCATCGCAATAATCGCTAGGAGTTAGAGGAGATTTTTTAAGAAACTTCTTTTGATTAAAATAGTTTCGGAATGTTAGGAAATCATTTCTTTTCTAATTGTAGTTAGTATCGTTTACTGGACTGTAGTTTTAGAGAAAAGCAAAAGATATTTCCTTTGCCTTTATTTTTAGTATAAAAAAGATGATTGGGAGGAAACCTTACGACGCATGAAGGAAATACGTTTGGCCATCGGTGAATTAATTCGCACGGCTGTGAGAAGGACAATGACGGTGAAATCACCGATGCCTCAAATTTACGAACGTGTCATTTGTCGAAATTTTTTGAAAAATATGCTCTCACGGTTCAAGTAAGTATTCGGACAGCATATTCTTGCGGCAGAAATTTGAAATTCGTTCCTTTTTTCTTCCGAAGAAAAGGCATAATTTGCGAACATGTTATTAGCACTGTATAGCCGGTCGATCGATCGTGTGAAATAATTGTAAACAATTTGTTTTGAATTTCGCCTAACTTGAAAATAATTTTCTGAATTTTTCACACTTACTTGAAGTTGTTTATTTATTATTTAGAAGCCGTGTACGAAATCCGACTATCCCAGAGATTTGTCAAGATTGTATGCTTTGTTCAGAGCACAAGAAACCATGTGTATTGATTGATAATACTGAGGGTTTGGTATGTTCCAATTTTCGTCTTAAAGTAGTTGAATAATGGAAAAAGACGAAATGAAGTCGGTTTAGGCTAGGCGTGTGAAGCCTTATTTTTCTTGTTTTCGACAATAATTCGTCATTTCAATTTAATATTTTTCCTAAACGGACTGGTGAATCGCGTGAGATAATTCAACAGCGCAGATCTTAAATATCATTCAACATTTGGTGTTTTGTCGTGTCTGTACTACTGCACTAACAACTACAATGTTGTTCCAATACAAAAATGGATAAGGAGCTCACATTTATCTACGATTAGATGTAAACTGCTTATAGATTTTGAAAATCAATTCAAGCGTTGTTCTTTCAGGCTGTTCCACTTACTCTTGAGGAATGGCAAAAAATCCTAGCAGCTATGCAAACTAGTGAAGACGATGTTATGCTCGTTTGCCTTGATAACAAAGGTTATTATTTTAGAATTTTTTTTGAGCTCCTTTTGAATTCCTTCTGTAATATATATTTGGAATGTATAGTAAAATAATGTTCACAATATGCATCATCTGTATAATTGGGCCCCCTAAAATAGTTTCGTCATTTATTGCAATGTGTCTCTCAATACTGACAATTTTGCTGGTTTCCCTAAATGTTCCTTACGATCTTCCAAAACATTTATGTGATTTACCAAAAAAAAAAGATCACTTAGTAAGCTATTTAATGATGTACTGTCACACACCAACGAAGGTCTAGAAATAATTGAAATACCTGATCACGCCAATAACTAAATAGGTCATGTAGTAACTGGAATTGCAGCAAAAGGATTTTCATTTCAATGCTGTTCATTACGTTCGACTCTTCTGCTTTTATTGACCAGTGGGATTTTTGGTTTACTTAAGGTTTTTACTAGTGCCAAATTTTATTGTGACGCAATCTTTTCTTCTTTTAAAAAATTTTTATTTAATATTTGAGGAGTATGTGAAATGTTCTGTGATGAGTGTTTTCGACGACATCAGATGCAGGTTGAACATCAACGTTTTGTTTACGAAAACGGCGCTGAAATTTATGTGAAACTTGTGAGTCATTTATTTTTCTTTACGATTTGCGACATCATTAGAAATTGACAACTATTTCTGCATTAGATATGAACATTGTGAACGTTGTGCTAGCCCTCTTCATATCTCATTCCCTCATGTCTATCCAATGCCTGCATTGTTTGCATTTTTTTCAAAAAGAAAAAAAAATTTTTTTGTGGAACTTTACAGAAGAGTGATAAGAATGATGAGCCGATAAAAACAGCAAATGGTGATCTGATAGCACCGTTCAATGCTACTCCATCGCTGATTCGCCCTGAACGACACGCAACAACAAGGCGTGCAGTGGCAAAATGTTCAATGGTCTTCAAAGTGAATTTAATATTATACGCAAAATTTTCACTTTTTTTTTCACTTATTCCATGGTCACCATAGTTACCACGATTTTGTCATTTCTTTCAGGGAGATTAGATTTCGCTTTTATTTCTTATTGATTTACTAGAGCAAACTGATAATCCTGTTACTTGCAATTTTACGACAATTTGAATGTAAAAGATCCTGTGCTAGCCTTGCTATGCTCTCCTAATTTAAGTTGTTTCCTTATCCGATTCTAGATCCCCCTTGTTGAGGGCAAGAAATATTCATTTTTCAACTTACTGTTATTAAGAAATTACTCAGCAGCCAACGTTTCTAATGATATTTGCTTTCAGATGACCTCCCTGAATACAATTCATCAATTAAAAATAAAAATTTATCAAAAAACGGGTCAATTACCAAACGATCAATTAATTTATATGAAGGAAAGACTTCTCAATGATTCGGTTTGATTATATTTTGAAATACAACTGAAACTTTGAAATAAATTAATTCCATATATTTTCCGCTTTTTTTTTTTTTTTTGAGCACCCTTACTCTACGTTTTATTCGCGTTTTGCTGTTTAATTTCCTAAGATGAACAAGATACTGGAAATCTAATTCATTTTCGTTTGCATATTATTTTCATATTATTGCAGGATACCTTAGAAGAAGCTCGAGTTGATCCACAAGAGCTTATTGAAACACCGTTGACGTTAATTGTGCAACAGCCTACCGACATCCCAACAGAACCACGGCAGTTAGAACGTGGTTTTGCTGATACAGCTTTGTCACATAGCTGATAATTCTCAGTTGATGAGGTAAAGCCAAACCGATCTGTGTATTTGCATTCTAATATTGTTGTATTTAATTTTTGAAATTTCAAACTTCTAATTTATTTCATGTGATACTTTGCAGCTGGTAACCATTCCCCTTCCCTACAATCTTCACTTATTAAATTCTTTTCTGCTTCCAAAGGGAGCATTAAAATTCTTCCAACTTTTGGTTTCCCGAATATTTCAACTTCCTCTTTTTGATTTTATTTCAATTTAACTTATAGAAATTCATAGTTAGCAGATATATCGAATGTTCATGTTATGTAAATAACGAAAGAAATGTATTCCTATGCAACTTCCATTTATGTAATTGAGGCTTTTTGTTCAGATCTTCCATAATTTTCATGTAGCATAATAATATGAATCCAGCTTTAGGTATTGATTTATACTACTTTATTGTAAAATAGAAGTTCTCCTTCTCCTTTTCCTAGAATGCATTTATATGTGAAACTTTACACAGAGTTTGCATACGTAGCCTGCAATAAGCGATGTGATTCGATGTAATGTTGCAGAAATTATCAGTTGTTGCTAAATACTTTATCATAACGCATTTCCACATATTAGATATAATGCACGTTGGAAATCTAAAGAATAGATTTACGATATAATCACCAAATTATTTTACTGTTCACTAGACTTTCAGTTGTTAAGAACATCCAACAAACTTGTGGAACCATTTTTTTCTTTATGTATACTTTCTTGGAACAGCTAGCGTTATACCTGTCACATTCCCACTATGAGGTCACTACCATTCACCTTGACAAGTTGATGTTCGAGGTGAGTTCAACAAAAATTGTAAAATAAGTGGTCATCAAATTTCTTTTTTTTCCGGATTATGTGATATTTGGCATGGATGTATGCATGCTTATACTGTCGTGTAAATACTGCATGACGTAAAACGTTTCAACTTTGACGCAACAATTTAATAGAACGTTTGTATTTGTAAGAATTGCTGTAAATTTCATATAATTCAAATTTAATGATTAGAAAAAGATATAAAACAAGCTTGAAATGTAGGACGAATATTGATCAAAACATCCAAATAATATTTGATGTTCAGGGAGAACAAATTTGTCGTCCTACTTTATTAATTTGCAGTACTTTTATTTTTTCTTTAACTTTTATGAGGCTCTCAAGTAATGTTTTTATTCTTATTTGCATCCTTAAGCCGGTAATGTTTAATTTAATTGCCGATACTATTAAATATTCGCACTTCGATCTGTATGGATAATTATTGTTGGATGCTTCAATATTTTATTTATAACAGTAAATAAATTTTGTGGTCGATAATTTTCTGATGTGAAATATTTTCATAAATTGATTCTATTATATAAAGTTATTTCTTATTATCCATCATAGCTACTCGGAATCCAGATATTTACCGGAAGATTTTTGTCGCAAAGCATTAAGATATAAAATTGTGAAAAAACTTGAACTATCATCCTTTTTACAGATGATTAAAAAAAAACGAACCCTTATAGCACTAACTGTATTTTTCAATCTGTAACTTTTTTTTTTATCACCTAATTTTTTTATGAATAAAGTAAATCTTCGATTAGACTTACTGAACCACTGGATCATCATTCTCCTTTAAGTGTCATAAGAAATACACCTCGAAGTAAGTAAGTAAATGCACCGAAGTTTCAGAGGTTAAATAAAAATTAATGCATCGACAACGTCTTCATATAACGTTTACATTGGTAAAACGATTCAAATCAACGAAGAAAATACGGAATGTTACATATTATGTACCTCCTAAAACATTCCGTACCTGCGTATTATCATCCGTTGAAACC